TTTTTTTTTTTTTTTTTTTTTTTTTTTTTTTTTTTTTTTTTTTTTTATTTTTTTTATTTTTTTTTTTTTTTTTTTTTTTTTATAATACTTTCCAAGTCAAAATTAAAACCAATTTTTTTATATAGCAATTTGTTTAATGCAATTAGAAAGAATATTTAGTAAATGGAAAATAAGATCTTAAATTTATTAAATAAATATAAAGCCATCAATTCACATATGCTCGGCATGTTTCAGTTATTTATTTAGTTGGTTCATGCATTCATAAAAAAATTCAATTTTTATCCCAAAAATTTCTGTTGTTGCTCCTCCGAGCCATCGACAACATTAAAAACCAATCAGGCTCATTGTCACATAATCAAGCCAAACACAACTTCTCTACACTTACACACACACTCGCATATGGTTTGTATTTTATAGTTGCCGCTATCAGCACACCCACGCACACACTCTAAAGGAGTGAGAGAGATAGTCAAATAAAAAATAAAAAGGGAGAGCTCTGTCGCATAATAGTTTTGGCTTATGAAAACAAATTCAATTTGGAAGCTGCTTATGAAAATGTTTATGCAAGACGTGCGCAAAATGTGAACGGAGGCTAAGGGTAGTCAGAGGGAGGTGGCTGTGGAGTGGGGAGTGAGATGGGGCACAGTAGCTGCAGTGCATTGCTGGAAAAATTAATGTCACATGACAGCCAGAGTGAATGCGCGCTAGCGAGGGCATGCCATTGGGGCGGGGTAGCACTGCATTTTAGTCAGATAAACAAGCAGGAGCAGGAAGGGAGCTGCTGGTGTGTGTGTGTGTGTGTGTATTTGTCATGGCTCTTGGTACAGTTGCGCAGCAAAGTTGACTCTAACAAATTGAAAATCATTGAACAGCGAAAGTAAAACGCGCACCTAAGCCACAACGAAGGGTGAGGGAAGAGAGGGTAGCTCTTGCACTCCCCCCTCCCACTTATCGCTCTGTGGCTTAGTGAAAAATAGTGTAGCATACATTTAAGCAAATTGCAATTAAGGTTGGCAACGTTTGCACAATGCTTTGTTTGGCTATCCGATATTCAAGCCAGCTGCAGCCGTTGGCATTGCCATTGCCGTTTGCCAGTTGGCAGTTGCCATTTGCCGCTCGACAAAGTGCGCCAATATGCCACAAAGTATGCAACAATTTGTAGCATAAATACTTTGTACGCGCGCCTCCCTCTCTCTCTCTCTCTCTCTCTCTCTGCATTCGCAATAAAGGCCACACATAAATGTTGCATATGCCGAACGAGTTGTGTTTTTATCCATCTCGTTCTCCCCCTGCTCGAGTGGCAGCCCATTTTAATGGATCTATGTATGTGTGCCCCTCCTTTATGCATCCATTTGTCAGCAGCAGGAGCAGCAGCAGTTGGCAGGTGAAGCATTTCCGATTCGACTTGGGAGCTCTCGGTGTTTATGTGGGCGGTGCGCGGGGGGCGGCTGCTTATTGCTGTTGGTGATAATGCTTGCAGCAGCGTGTGTCTAGTTTATCTTATGCTGTGCTGTGTTGCATGGCCATTTGTTGCAATACTGCGCCCACACTCAGCTCTATATAAGCATATGGAAAGGCATGTGACTGGCACGGTTAACGACGACGATAGGGATCATTGCATCGTTGCCAGAATGAGCTCGAGAGGAGAATAGATTCTTTGGCTTCTAGTTGCAAATAAAACTAAATATACAAAAAATGGCTCTGTTGTGCCACACTTTGTTTTAAATGAGAAGCGAATGAGTTTCTCTCCTTTTTCTTAGCTGTGCCAATTTTTACTTTCCACTGTTGCCATACTTAACTTTATATTCATATAAATATTGCTGAAAGGATATCCATTTCTACTTGCTCTTAATTTTGTACGTTTGCCATACTTCATTCCATACTTCATTAAGCTTATAACAAATATTCCTTTGCCAAATTTTAACTAAGGAAATATCGAAAATGCTTAAAGGGAAAATGCCAAATTTACCTTTGCTTTGTTAAACTTAACGACATATCGAGCTGATGCATTTAGTTAGCTGTTGCCATACTTCACAAAGTCTGGTGAATTTCAGCATGCGCGGTTGTCATACTTAAGGAAAAGTAAATATTCAAAATGCTTCGTTTGCCAAACTCTAAAAAAGTTTCTTTAGGAGCGTAGCAGCTGTCACTTTAATGAAATTTATAATTTTAATGTGCTCAGAACTTTCTCTAAATATTAAAATTATAAACTTGGCTAAGAGCTGCGCCTGCCTTTTGGCAATTATTTACAGTTTGCTAACCGCGCGCTGACTGCTGGCTAAGTTGTCGAAGTTCATTAATTATACCATTATTTGCAATTTCCGCACTTAATTGTGGTCGCTCGTGTCGAGTCGCGTATCGCATGCGTGTGTGTGTTTGCCTTGCATGCAAATCCAGGCGATGCCAGCTCGAAGGAGTTAAATTGCCATCGCGCGCGCACAGTTCGCGCTTCATAAAAACTAAACTGCAACTTCCGGAGCTCTTGAGCGCTGCCTGGCGCCTTGGCTCTCATAATATAAAATAATTTTGTGTGCGCACCAAATTTACACCTGAGGAGCGGCAAGAACGGCGAGCACTTTCGCACCTGATGCTTGCGTGTGAAACACATTTTCCAGCAATTGCATGCAACAATTTGCCTGCCACGAATTGCTTAAACATTTTAGGCACGCTTCCGTCCCCGCCTCGACCCACCCGCGCACACACAATGCTCCCCTTGGGGGCTGTGAAATTCTTTTGCTCCAACTCTCAAAACTGACCGAAAACTTGAGCTTCGCGTCACGCATACGCCCCGTGCGCCGGGCAACAAATCAGCGAGCCGTCTGTGAATTTCAATTAAAGCTGTGTGTGTGCGTGTGTGTGAGTTTGTGTGTGCCAATAGTTGAGGATGAATGACTCTGTTTACCTTTTACTCTAGATACGGCTTGAGTCTAGCCTCTGGCTCTGGCACGTTCGAGCATTTATTGACTGACCCAGTCCAAAAAAAGAAAAAGTATATATATTTGTGGCTTATTTGCTTAAGGCCAAGTTTTAAATTGAAACGTGCCCCAGTCGACGCAGTGCTTTTAAAGCTTCCAAAAATTCGCATGCAAAATGCAGAAGGATTAAAAGCTTTGTCGGCTAGCTAAACCAAGCTGAGCAAAGCAGTAAGCGAGCGGGGGGGCAGGCAGCCCGAAGGCAACTCTCCAATCGAAAAAGTATTTGCGAGGTGCCTGGGATCAAATAGCGCCAGTCCGAAATGGACAGGGCTATAAATACAGCGAAATATTCTGCCATAAAACTTTCGATGCAAATGTCAACCTCAATATCCTTTGGCTCTGAAATATTGCTTCCAATTTGGTTGGCGGACAACAGCCAAATAGCTAGCGCGAAAAACTAACAAGCGTGAATAGAACAACACAAACAAATGCCATCAAGTGGCGAGCGCTGTGCGCGTGCAGCCCTGGCTAGATTTTTGTATAAATATTTTGTCAGGTAGCAGCGCGAAAAATTAAAAAAAAAAAAAAATAAGGAAAACAAGGTAGAAAACGCAGGACTCGACTAAGCGAAACACAAACAGTTGCGGCGCTTGGCACTTCAGGCGCTTGGTTCCGGCGACTAAATCAAATCAAAACAACAACAAAGCAGCAGCTGAGTGAGAAGCGCAGAGAGAGGCGCACCATAAAGTAAATGGCAATGCAAATGCTCTGGTAAAGTTGGCCAAAGTCCTTGATGAAGTTTAAAGTGTTTCTGGCTTAAATGGCGTCAAACAACTGATGCAACTACTGCTGCTCCTGCTCCTACCCTCCCACCCCTTCGTCCTCCTTTTCTCCACAGGACATGTGTGTTGAAAGTTAATTAAGTAAAAACCTTGGCAACTTGCTGCCGTGCAGCAACGGCTACACGCGGCGTATACGCAACATTTTGACAGCTTGTTACGCTTCTTGCTTTAATTATAATGCTCCACAGTTTCAGTTGAGGCGAGTGGCTTTGGTTTTGCGGTTCTGGCCGCGTTTCAAGTGGGCCGTAAATCTTTGCGCTGCCTTGTTGTTGTTATTGGCCCTGTCGATGGGTTATTGCGTGGGCTTAGCATGTTGACAGTTTTCGAGGCCACCCTCGCAAATACTGTTGCTGCTAGAATTTTATCGATTGCGGCGATGTTTTGGCTTTGGCTTTAGATTTGGCTTTGGCTTTGCTCTGCGTAGTTCTATTGAAATTTCCATTGGTTTTTGGAGCCTTCGCTTGTGTTTCTCGCAAAGCGCCGACTTTTTTCAATTAGCTTAGTTTTTCAGCAACCGCATTGCGCTCTGCTCCCCCTCTGCCTTCCCCCTCTCCGCGGTCCGCGAACCGCCAGCTGCCAATTCAGGTTATTGCTCCTTGTTAATAAAACGCAGTCAAAACGAATTTTGTTCTCACAACTTTTTGGCGCTTCAACAACAACAACAAACACAATTTGCATGCAACAACAATAACAGCAACAACAACAGCAACAACAATATGACGAGAATAACCTAGAAACTTGCTTATAATTTTTAGCATATTTTTTAATTTGTTTTAATTTTTAAGCTTTTAATTAATATTTTTATGCGTTTTTGTTTTTCTATTTTATTTTTATTTCGTTTCGGTTTCTCGATTCTTGTTAAAATTGTTGTTGCATGCAATATGTGAATAACAAACTGTTTGAAACTTGCACCACAAAATGCAGTTGCAACTATCCAAACACAACATCGCAACAACCACCACCACCACCACAACAACCACCACCACCACCAACAACACCACCAACAACAACATCATCACCAACAACACCATCAACAACAACTTGTTGCCCCAGCTCAAACGCACAATCTTGTTCCATTTAAAGAGCCTCCACTATTGGGACCAGGCACCGCCTTCCCACCATTCGGAGCACCCGAATACCATCCCACCCAGCCGGACAACTGGAAGGGCGCCGCCATCCATCCAACTGGCCTCATGAAGGAGCCCACCGGAGTCGTCGCCGGACGCAATGCGCCAGTGGCCTTCGCCCAGCAGGGACAGGCACAGGTGAGTATCGAAATGAACTACTAGAGGCAGCTCCCCTTTGGCTTCCTCCCTCTTAGCCTGGCCTGGCCTGGCTCGTCTCGGCTTGGCTTGCATTTCTATTCATAAATATAATTTTAATTTTAATGTACAATTTGTGCGCACACTGCAATCCTTGCCAGAGTCTGAGCCAGAGCCACAACCGCAGCCCCAGCCCCACAGATCCCCTCCAGCTGCTGCTGTGCTGCTGTGGAGCTGTGTGGAGCTGCTGCAGCATCTGTTGGACAACATTTTAATTAATTTGTTGTTGCGTTTTTTCTTCTCTTGCCTTTTTGCATCCTCAGGGCGCTGTCATGATGGTCTATGGCATGGACCATGACACTTCCAACACAGATAAGCTCTTCAATTTGGTCTGCCTCTATGGCAATGTTGCCCGGGTAAGTCTCACTCAATTAATTTGTTAAACATATGAGATCTTACGCAGAGATAAGCCTAGCAGTGATATATTAATTAATTATATATATCAGTCGATATTATACGAAAAGTAGATAATCTGAAAGGGAAATGTGGATAAAATTGTAGTGTGCATTGTATAAGCTTTTTATAAAGTATATAGGCACTTCAGCCAAGGATATCTGTATGGGAAAACAGGGATCAGGAAAGATAATATTAGATTTTCAGCATTTCCTTATCTGCATATTTCCTATAACTTTCGGCATTTTATGAAAATAATTTAAAATATTTCCATTTGAAAATATTTCTGACTTAAAAAATAAATAAAAATTCTTTAGAGCTCTGCGAAAAAAATAATACGTATATGTTAAAAAATCAACTTAAACGCAAAGATGGAAATGTCTAAAACAACTTACACTTAATTTACTAAATAATTTATGAGTAAGTTGTAAAATAACTTGGGCAAATTTCAAACACACGAAAGGACTGGCTCCAATGGCTAGAAATTCCTTAGTTTGACGGCTGCGCGACAGTGCCTCAACTTAAATCTCTTCAATTGCCACTTAAAGACACGAGGAGGAGGCGTAGCTGCTGCTGCTCCAGGCAGTGGGTGGGGGAAGGGGAGGGCAGCAGCTCTTAAACTTGCACTTAGCAAGATGACACGAAAAAAGCGAGACGCCGTTTCATGTTTAGTCGTTCTCTAAGAGGCCGTTAAAAAAAAAGGTGTTGCTAACAGCCGCAAAAACCGCAAGAGTATACCATATGAGAGTATTGCTCCATTTGTAAATGCGCAAATAAAACGAAAGGCAATAAAATTGAAGGCAAAGGCCGAGCCAGGACACAGGACACAGAAGCCAAACGCCCTTTAGGCATATACAAACGTGGGACAGTTGGTCCACAACCAAAACACATTTAGATAAAGCGTTTTAGATTAAAGCCCCGACACATGTGTAGAAAAAGAAGTAGGGAGAGAGGAAGGGTGGAGCATAAAGAAATTGGGGAAAGTAGAAGGCGTAGAGCGCGCGTAGAGGTCCTCGGGCAGCAATCAATGCAGCTTCATTTTGCTTTCGCCACATACTAATACGGAAAGAGAATAAAAGATGCGAGAGGAATTGATTCCATTTCGGAAGTACCACAAAAGACGCTTCGAGCTTGAAAAGTAAATCAAAATATGCCACAAAAAATCATCCATTAATAATGGGAGAGGGCTCCACCTTTGCCCAAGTGACAATTGAAGTGGACGCTTGGGGAGCATTTAGCGCACAACTATTGTGAATCACAGTCCCTGCCACTCACAATGGCGATCAAAAGAAAGCAAAAGCAAAAGCGAAATGAACTGGACCCGCGAAACATCAAAGCCAAAATGTTAATAAAGCGAATGCAAGGAAAGGGCGAAGACGGAATAGTAGAAGTGGAAGTAGAAGTTTCCTGCCAACAACTGAGGATTCGCTTTCACTTTATTGCCACTAAGAGTGGCGCGCTCTGCAAGTCCTTTGATAATTGCAACCCAACAAGGACAATAAAACGAAAATAGGAAGAAGCGAAAAGTATCCAAGTTGCGCGCGGCTTTTGTTTAGTTTAATGCTTGCAGCGAATCGCGAATCCCGCGAGGTCCTTAACGGGCGACGGGCGACAGCGGGAATAGAGCGCGAGGGAGTTGAAAATAAAAAGCGTTTGAATTAGTGTCTCGTGCTAGGGAGTACGAATGGGAATAGGTGAAAGGTCATGAGTGTGTGATTCTTAAAGTTCAAGCATAGCTAAACAAGAGGGGGGACGAACAGGCTTGGGGTAAATGGAGGGGTACTAAGCCCTCAATTGATTACCTATTTGATGATGCAAACTCTTAGTAATCTTATATATAGTCTACACTAACTCTCTATTAAAAATATTTGTTTCATCTTGACAATTCTAAAGTATAATTGCAAATAACTATATAAACTACAAATTATCTGGCAATTTGTCAATTCATATTAACTCTCGCTAAGTGATGTTATAATTAAGGCTGCACTTGATAATATTTAGAAACTCTGGGAATAATATAGCTGTAGAATTGGTCTGTTATTGTAATAGGACAACGCTTGTCCAAAATATCAGTAAGTTTCACTAATTATCCATATCCATCCATACTAAAAATTATATCTGTATAATCTCTGGCAACTCCATGAAAAGTAAAATATTACACCGCTAATTAGAAGTTACCCAAGATATCCTAGACAAATAGTAAACCTTACGACAATGTTTATACTCCGCTGTGCCACGGGGTTATCTTGGCACCATATGGCTATGGGGGCCACACTTCTTGTTTTTATCTAAAACGTAGTTTCCACTTCATAAAATCGCAGCTTTCGCTGCCAGCCAATTTTTCAACAATTGCACTCCATTAGCCAATTATTTAACAACCTTCAAGCGCGCACTCACACTCACGCTCACACTCACACTCGGGGCAGTCACACATTGTGGTGCCACGCCCTGGGTGCTTGCTCACGCCCTTCTACAATTAAATGCAATTTACGCGCAAAACAAAAAAATAGTTGAGCTAAAAGCAAACTGACAGGCAGCCAGCCTTGGACGTTGGTCAACAGCAGCAGCAGGAGTAGGAGGAGGAAGAGTAGGAGCAGGAAAAGGCAGGAATCAGGGCAAAATAGTTGGATAGTTGGGCTTAGCGCTAGCAGCAGCAGCAGCAGCAGCAGGACGAGGGATAATGCGCCCAGGCAAAGGCAATTTAGTTGTTGTTGTGTGTTGGTGAGATTTATTACGAACTTCCTGTCCGAGACGGAAACTACTCATTAGCCATTAAAAATGATTATGCGCAAACATTATTCATTGCGACCGAGAACTCTTAAGCCACAAAGCATGCTGCTGCTGCTGTTGCTTACACAATGTCAGAGAATAGGAGATTGCGTTCTGCTTCACTCTCTCTCTCGCTCACTGTTACACGCCTCGCTAAAGAAGCCATACACGTGCTCATTATAAACCAACATATGTGTGTGCACTCTCTATACGCTTAGTCTATCTCTTTCACCTCTCTCTCCCTCCCTCTCCCTTCTCTCTCTCTCTCTCTCTCTCTCTCTCTGCGTGTAGCTCGCATCAGTTTATGTCCGACATGTTTGAATTGCGAATGAGAAATTGATGGGCACTCAATCAAAGTGCTGCCTGAACTTGAGGCCATCTCTGCCTCTGCCTCTGCCGTTGCCTTTGGTGTTAATGTGTGTCCCTAAGGGATTAGAGGGGAAGAGCTGCTTCTTGCCACCCACATTCGGATCACATTTTAAAGGCATGTGCTGTAGATTAGCGATAAAAATACGTCTGTGTGCCTGGCATAAAGAATCATGAATGCGCTCTACGTGGGGCTCAACTCGTTAAAATCAATATTGACAGAGCAACATGATATATATACATATATATGTGGCTCGGTTCGCATCCGATTAATCTTTTTGCAGTCACTTGAGCATGCTTAAGAGGTCCAGAGATCCTTAAGTCCGTTGAATACTTTTCATAAAAAATAAAATTTAGGATCCTCTTTATACGAGCTGATTTTGAATAAATTACAGAAATTCTAAAGCTACTTTTCGTAATAAAATTCAATTCGAGCAATTGCTTTGCCCTAAATAAACCCAAAACGCAATCAATTTTGTAACTAGGACACAGAAATCACGCACTTGCCATAAGTCAAGCCTGTTAGGATTTGGCTAAGCATTAGCTTAGCCCAGCCTAACGGAAAAAGAGAGCTGAGATTCGTTTATCCCGTTTTGGCTTAGAAGCAATCAACCCACCAGTTGAGGTAGCCAAGCCGACTGAAGTACAGCAGTTAGATCTCTCTTTATATACCCTGCACTTGCTATGCTTGCACCTGACTCCGAGTCTCATCCAATTTAATCTGACTCCGACTTTGACTAACTGACTCAGACTCAGCCTTTCCCTCTGTCTGCCTGTAATTTCCCAGGCATACTTCAAAGCGAATATCCAACTACATTTTGCTGATGTCTGCGATGTGTGTTGCATATTTTATGAACAAGTTTTTCCAGCCAAGTTGCTTTACAACACAAAAAAAAAAAAAAAAAGAAAATCAAGAAGAAAAATGAGATTAAAAACAATTTAAGTAACGAGCTCAACGCCGCCCTGGCAGTCGATTTAATTATATTTTTTGTAGGTGCCGTGATGAAGTCATCGTCCAAATTGATTTTCAGGTTAAATGGCTTGACAAATACGAGGCGAGAGGCCAACAGCAGCGCAGCAGCGCAGCAGCGCAGCAGCGCAGCTCTCTGTTGCACACGACCAAATTGGTAATGTCTTTAAAAGCGACAGCAACAGCAATAATAGCAACAAGAACAGGACAACGACCTGCTCCAGCAATCACACGCAGTCAATTAAATGCGCATTAAAAAAGCATTTGGCTCGATTTTGGGCCTGGGAGAGAGGGGTGGGAGTTGTGCTTTTGGGGCTGCCCCTTGGGAATACTGGGGGTGGGTGGTATAGATATGCCCATTGGAAAGTAAACCTGGCCTGGACACAGAAGCATTCGGGCTGCAGCCAATATTCTTTCTATTGTTGTCACTGCTGTTGTTGTGCTCCTCGTTGTTGCCGCGTGAGCAATTAAATCAAATGGCAGCAGACGCCACGCCACATTGAGCAGCAGAACAAAGAGCGTGAGCGTGAGCCCAGGGTAGCAAGGGGTATGCTCGAGCTCTAAGCAGAGTATGATGAGGAACCAGTTACAGTAGTAGTCATAATTAATTTACACACAATTTAATGCTATTAACAAAATATTAATAAATGCAGAGAGCTTTAAACATAGGGTATCTCAGGTCGCCCCACTCCTCTGGTCATAGGCATTGTTTTTAATTAACGCAGCATACGCATGGAGGTATCTGATAGCGAATTGCCATTTATAGATCAGCGGAGAGAGGGGCTCGAGAGGTTAGCCGAGGTTGAAAGGGCGCACACAGGGCAAAGGGCGGGCGGGGGCGTTTGGCTAACAGCACAGCTCATTAGGCACGCACCAAATGTTTGTCGCCCCACTCAGTCGCCCACTCACTTGGAGCTGCTCTGCTTCGCTCTCTGACCATTGGCCAGTGAGCCATGAGGAGCGAGTGCTCTTTGATTTGTGATTGTCCTGGCGCCTGTTTTGCGTGTTCGCCTCTATTATGCCCCGACCGAGAGTGCCCACTGTGCCACTGCTCTACTGCTCCACTGTCCCATTGCTCTCTCCTTCTCTCTCTCTCTCGCTCTCGTCTCGCATAAAACTGCCTTTTGTTTTAGGCTGTGTGTGTCTGGCCGGGCCTGGGAATTGGCAGCGCCTATCTGCACGCTTTCTGCCTCACTGATTTATGGTTTATATTTATTTATATATTTTTGGGGCTTTATTTTTATATGATTTCTAGCCAAGCGTGTTGTTGTGGGCCTACCTTTCGATAAGCCTCATTTAGTTTTCATCCACTCTCTCTCGCTCTCTCACTTTCGGCTATCTCTGTCTGCCTCTGGTCATGTTTTATTCGCATTCGTATTCCTGTTTCACTCAAGCGTATATATCTCAGCCTTTCGATATATTTATGGGAATGGAATAAGCTACAGCTGCTGCTCCGTTGTCTGTGTTCTGTATTTGGGTTGATAACAACCTTTTCTGTTGATTTTTTTCTGCACTCTATAATCTGCTCCTCTTTTTTTAGCAAGCAATTTAAATTATTTACTAGTTAATTATACTCACATTTTAGTTGTATTTTGGGCTTAGGTTTAACTTGTAAATTAAACAATGCATATTTGATGTTTATGGGTAAATCTTTGCTAAGCAGATACAAATTTGATGCAAGGTCAGCAGGGGAAGATGAATATATACATATATTTAGCAGAGAAATAAATAAATACATTTTAAAATATATATTTTATACTTTTTGAAGAAATATAATCGTATATAAATAAAGTAGAAATATACTAAAAAAATAAATTACAATACAACTTTACAGTATTAAAAAAAAAAAAAACAATTCAGAATAAAATAATAAAGTGTGACAAACAGTAAATTCTTCTGTAAAAATCTAAATATAATTTATTATTTTTTTATATATATAATTTAATAAATTTCACCTCGCAAGAAATATTATTTATTATTATTTAATGAAATTATTTACATTATTAATTTTACTTTGCATAATAAAACTGCATTCAAATTTATTAATATTATCTTATTATAAGCTCCATTCGTTGCTTTTCTATTTATCTTAAGCTAAGTCCCACTTCTCAGCTAAATGTCTTGTTGAGAAAATATTGCGGCACTTGAGTTGATTGCCGTAGTTTTTCTTGGCAATTGTTGCTGTTGACTGGGGAGTTGCTGCTGCTGCCGTTGTTGCTGTTGCTACTGTTGGCAACAACAGCGACAACAACAAAAAAGAGACAGCAAACTAAAGCAACGGGCAGACAAAACAATTTTGCCTGTCACTTTCAAGTGGAAAAAACGGGCCCAAGACCGAAACAGCCTGCAATTATGTGTGGCATAAATGCCCGCAGTTATAACTCGGTAGTTTTGTCCCAAGTGAGGCATTTTCCCATTTTACTGCGGCTAAATAAATCAAAAACCAACCCAGCAAATTAACAGCAGCCATTCAAAATGACAATTAAAGCCAAAGCGATAGAAAACTTGACTCAAATGCATTTGGCAATAGCAAAAAACAAACCAAAAATTGAGCGCTGCCAATTTTAGTGCAGGTGCAAAAACAAGTTTTCACTTAACGAGTTCATTGCCTCACAGCAGCAGCAGCAGCAGCAGCAACAGCAACTAGCCAAACGATCAGCGAACCAAAACTGCAAACATATTTTCCATAGATTTTTCACTTTCACTCGCATTTGGCTATTATGGCTAATTAACTTAACGAGGCTTAGCAGCCAAAAGGCCCGGCTAGCAGTTGGCAGTAGCCGCAAATAGTTGAGGGCTTATACATATTTATGTTAACAATTAGTTTGGAAAGCGCGCGATGCAATCCAGCCATAAATAACATTTGCGGAAACCACATGGATCTTTGCAGCCAGAAACCGCGCATAAATAAACGTTTTCCATTGAGGCTTATTTGACTATCGCAGAGGAAAACTCAATTCAGGAAATGTTGAAAATCATTTATGCAAGATTTTCCTAATGATAATTGAACAATGAAGCAAGTCCGAATTAAATTTAATCTTAAATGAACAGCCTGTCAATCCTTTGCCGGTCTGAAAGCCTTCAAGTAGTTTGTCACGTACGGAGATATATCCATTGTATCTAGGTATATATAATATAGATATAATTGAACAATAGGGACACATCGGCAGATCCCACAATGGACAGCAAATTAAGGGTGTCATTCAATTTGATAATTTGATTTCGGACTAAATTTTAAATTGAATTCAATAAAAATACACACACACGCAGATGTTTGGCTAGAGTAACAGCTTCTCTCTCGGCTAAGCACAAGGGTAGGGTTAAGACCCACACACACACGCACTCACACACACATTGCTGGAGAAAATTCAATCAAATGGCAAACGACAGGTCAACACTCGACTGTGACAGTCGATGAGTGTCTCCAGTGCTAGATGTGGCGTGGATAGGGTTTGCGGTTAGCAGGTGTTCTGGCCATGTTTAGAATTGAATATGAGTGGACGTAAGAGTGTGCAGCTGCAACATAATTGCATTTATTTACATTTGCGACACAAATTGCGGTGACAGTTGCTGAGCCGGACAGCCGACTGCTCTGCACGTTGTCATTGAAATAGTTTTGTGGCTTGAAGCATATGAATCTATATAAGCTGTAGCTGAAATACCAAAATGACATAATGGAAACACAGTTAGGAAGGATAGATGTCATTTGGAGTGAAGTGATGGGATGAGGAGAGAAGTTTTAATGAAGTATTAATGAGATTAGGTAAAGATACACAGGGATGACTTAAGACTATGGTTCGAATAGTTATTATTATTATTATTATTATTATTATTATTATTATTATTCCACCAACTCTAATTTCTACTCTCTTCACTCACGTTTTTGCAGATCAAGTTCTTGAAGACTAAGGAAGGCACCGCCATGGTACAAATGGGCGATTCGGTTGCCGTCGAGCGTTGCGTTCAGCACTTGAATAACATTCCCGTTGGCACTGGCGGCAAAATACAGATTGCATTCTCAAAGCAGAACTTCCTATCGGAGGTGATCAATCCATTCTTGCTGCCGGATCATACACCCAGCTTCAAGGAGTACACTGGCTCCAAAAACAATCGTTTCCTATCACCGGCACAGGCCAGCAAGAATCGCATTCAACCACCGAGCAAAGTGAGTGCCACGTAAATTTAATTAATGTATACAAATAATAATCATATATTTGCTATTTACTACTATTCACCTTTAGATCTTGCACTTTTTCAACACACCGCCCGGTCTCACCGAAGACCAGCTCATTGGCATATTCAACATTAAGGAGGTGCCAGCCACATCCGTGCGTCTCTTCCCCTTGAAGACAGAGCGTTCCTCCTCGGGGCTGATCGAGTTCCCCAACATCTCGCAGGCTGTGCTCGCCATCATGAAGTGCAACCATCTGCCTATTGAGGGTAAAGGTGAGATAGTGCTGTGTTTAAGTGTTTTACGAAAAAAAAAAAAAAGAAAAAAAAAGAAAGCAAGAAATGCTCAAATTTAAAAGTTGGCTATTCAAAAATTTTATACATATGGCCAGTAAAAAACAAAATGGAAAAATACTAAATTTGAAAAAGCAAAAGTTACACAAAATTTTCGCAAAAAAAAAAAAAAAAATATCCACATTTTCCTCACACCAAAAATGAAAAACCCCCAAAAAGCGGGCAATATGCAAAAGTTTGGGCGCCATTCCCGGAATGGCCTCTTGACTTCTGTTGCCGGCCCGCTTGAACCATCACACCAAACCAAAACCAAACCAAACACCACCCAGTACACCCCCCATCATCCACATATACATAGAACCACCCAGCCGCCAGTTCAGAAAACTTTTATTAGACTTCCTTCCTAGACTAGGCACTGACACCGGCAGAGCATCAAAGTTTTCCCAGTTGCGAGTCGCGCTGAAAATTTTAATTTGGTAATTAAGATAAACAATTTCGGTAGCCAGTTATTTTTATTGAGGCGGCCCCAATCTCTCACCGCATAAGCAATTACAACATTTACCCCTGTGGCCAGTTTTTCTCCTTCTGCTGCTGCTGCTCCTGCTCCCCTTTTATGTCCTTAGCCTCGTTTTACCCATTAAACTTTTGCCATAAATACTTTTTGAGCAGAAAAGTACGATTATTATTACGATGTTTACATTTGTTTTCGTGCTGCTCGCCTTTATTTACCTTGTCAACATGGCCTAATAAATTTACAGTAAATGTTCATAAAATAATCAACATTTGATTTCCAATTGATTGGCCCAGTTTTGTTTGCATTTGTGAAAGGCCTTTCTCTTCGATTGCTCTTACATATTTCTTTCTCAGAATTGCGATACCCCTGATTCCCTTTCATTCTTATGTCAGTTACATTTTGTTGCTATGCACCGAGTTCATAATATCCAACTAAATAGTATTTAATTGAGTTTTATTTTTTGCAAAACTGCGATAAATCAACTAAAGTACAACAGATATTCCGAGAAAAATTGTATCCAATAGAAAAATGCTCGCGAAACTAGTTTTTAAATTGAAAGTGAATATTTCTAGATTGGCATCGATTTCGTAGAATTAGTTTTACATAGGAATCGTTCGATAGCTCAGCTTTATCGTTGATAGGGATATGCCTGCATAGAATCATCACATCCCGCAATCCCCAAATGTAACATTGCCTCATATATCAAGCTCTTTTCTGTCTCTCTTAGTACTTTTTATCTGCTTTTCCTGTGTTCGATTCTCGATTAAAAACAATGTAGCAAGCAATACTTCTGCTAACGAGTCCATTATAAATCTCAATTCAGCATGTAAAGAGCTTGAAGCCAGAAGTCTAACCTATTCGATATGCCACACCAAAATATCAATGGCCATTCATTTCAAGTGTTGCTGCTATGCACTCTCTGCAGATACTAGAAATAATATTCGACTGGAGCATATTAACCTATTTATTATCTGCTGCGTGCTTTAGGGGACACGAGGACCAGGTACTCTCATTCGCATTCTCATTCGCATTCGCATTCGCATTCGCATTCGTATTCGCATTTAATATGCACTGCCCCGAATAATTTGCATGCATTGGCCTGGCATTGGCACACCTTTTCACAGGTGCCGAGAGTGGTGCAACGATGCGTGCGTGCGTGTGTGTGTGTGGTGCACAAGGGTATATTCTGGTATCATTGTTTACACGTAGCGTAAAAATCTTTTATGCAAATAGCAAAGCCTTGCGAGAAAGTTTTGTGCGACGAGCGAGGAGAGCGCAGAGCAGAGAGGCAATGCCAACTCTCTTGTGAACATATATATATGTAGTGTATATATATGTTTTATTGTGTGTGTGCATATGTATTTTGTCAATATTTTGGTGGGTGTTGTTTACATATTTGATGTTGATGCATTTCTGCTGCTGCCAGCGCTGCTGCTGCTGCTGCTGTTGCTGCATCGAGGGCCCGCTCGAGTGCATCGTAAATAGTAATTAAAAATGTAAGGAATGCAAATACACTCGAATAGCATACACTCGCACACACGTACGCACTTCACACGCACACACACGCACGTATTGCCCGCAGACGCGCGTGCCCACAGCAAATGCTAAATGTAAACAGATGCCGTTGCATACTTTCAGGCTGCACAAATTATGCATCTAGCAAAATATTTTTAACGCTCTCTCCTCGCTATAGCACGCTTTTAGATTTATGTGCGCTTGTATGTACGTGTGTACGTGTGTGCTCTGCTGATGGTTGGCAATTTTTACATTTGAATGATTTTGATTGCATTCGACCCCAAAGTATTTTTATGATGGCGCCCGCATTTAATTGGCACATAAAACTCGCTTAGTCGGTTTACCAAGTACCTTAACGATCTATTGCGTTTGCCAAGTCCTTGGCTATCCCCTTTCAGGAGTAGCAGAAGGGTATATCAGTTTCATATCTCTTCTATGGTAATAGTATAGAAAGGGCGTCGGTCTAGCCCCACTTTGCTATTACAGGGTATTATCAGAATCATACTGATTTTTAATTGCATGCGGCGTCATATAAATTCAGCTTCGATGGCTTTTATTGCCATTAAGATGGTCAACTTTTGCCCTGATTGTGCAACAAAGTGGAAATTAAATAACCATTTTCTATATCGCCAATACCCCCAACTTCCCCTCCCTCATCTCTCACGCTCCTTTGTCTCTCCCAGCCGTCCTCCCATCAATCACTCATCACGAAACTCTGCGAAAAGCAAATAACTTGATTCAGATATACAACACTTATACACATTACTACAACAATACTATGAAAATACAATTATTAGCAACGAAGGAACCCCATTTATTCTATAACTATGCATTTCTTTTCACCCCGTTCTTTATTTTTTCGGTATGTCCACCACCTACAATCCTGCGACACAAACAAACCAAAAAAAAAACATGAACATCAACATCATCAACAAAATTTCAGGCACTAAATTCCCTTTCATCATGAAGCTGTGCTTCTCCTCGTCGAAGAGCATGAACGGGGCCTGGAACAATGCGGCCAACGAGGGCATGATCGAGAAGGAGAATGACGGCGATGTCAAGGTGGAGATTTACAATTGAGATTTGATTACCATTGTGTAAGCAGCCAACAACAACCAGCTAAACGACACAACAAACTACAACCAACAACAACCAACACAAACAAACAGTACAGGAGGCGTAGAATTTATTATGCAGCATATTGGAGCACGACGGGAACAGAAGCGAATCCCCACACTCCGGCAACAGCAACAACAACAACAACAATAATATGAATATTGAACACATAATTCTATATATATATCTATATACAAATATCTTGATGGAACGAACAACTAAACAACTGAGAGTAGTCAAGAAAAATAAGAAACAGCAACAAATCTGATTGCATATGCATATGCTTAATTGAATAATTGACAACCAAACTGACACACACTTATAAATACACACACAAACACACTAACTTTAAACTTAAACTAATACGAAAATATATTTATAAATATATTAAACAAAGAAATCTTTACACAATTCGCAAACGCATGTAACTTTTCAACGCGCCATTTACTTGTATTTAAAAGGAATTAAGTCTAATTCGAATCACAATTAAACATAATCCCAACACATTCATCTACAAAATGGCGTCGTTCAAAAGCAACACACAACCGCTCGTTCCCTCACACACACACATAAATACACACTCTTACACAGTTAAAATTAAGCACTTATTACATGCGTTTGCGTTCCCCAAACAAGGAAATGTTATAAAAATTGTGAAAGAATAGCAAAAAATAAAAATTAGGTTATAAATTGTTTAGTTGCATTCAAAACAAAACAAACAACAAATTTACAAACTAAAACACCAAACATTGACATTACAAACAACAACAAGAACATCAAAAAACAAATGTTTCGTTTTTTCTTGCTTTGAGTTTGTAAAGTTTCTCGTGTGTGTTTCACTTGAAAAACAGTAAAAACAACAACAACATCAGCATCAACCAACATCAATCAATTATAACAAACAACAACAAATTGTAAACAATGTAATATGCAATTATAATATATTATAATAAAAACATATATTAAACACACACAAAAAATGCAAAGAAAAAATGAAAACAAAAATCAACCGACTTTTTCAACTACATTATATATATATATATAAAATATATATAAAAAATATTTTAGTTAATTATATATCATTTATTTAGATTATATATGGGATAAAAACAAATGCAACAACAAATTTCTTTGGACAATATTTCGACAAGTATTTCACGTGTGAGACAAAAATCTGATGCTAAAAATAAAATATTAAATCAAAAATACAAAAAAAGAGCAAACTAAATTAAATGTTGCGAGAGCGCAAAACGTGTAAAATTAAACCAAAAATTTAGCAATTTTAAATCAAATTTATTAACTTTATTTCTACAAAATAAAACAAAAAAGAAAAGAAAAAGAGAACTTGCACAAGCCAATGTTTTTTCTTTTTTTAAATTATGATTTTTATTTAAATTAAATATATATATTAAAATAAAAACGACAAAAAGACAAGAGAACATTAACATAATTTATGTGCTTAATTTACGAGAAGGGTTAAAACAAAAGGCATAAATTTATATGTATGAGCTGTATATGTATTTAAATTAATATTAATTATAATTTTACACTAAATGTAAAAAGCAACAACTAAAAAAAATTATTTTAAGTGCAGAGCGAAATTGAGACAGGCATATAAAAATAAATACCATACAAAAAAGCTAAAAAATTAAAAATATAAAAAATAAATGCATATTTTTGAGGCGTTTTAAGACAAGAGAGCCAAACATTTCACAACTCCAAGTAATTTTTGGCGTGACGCATTAAAAAAAAGTATTTATTTAAAATTTATAAAAGAAAAAGATATCAGCAATAAAAGCAACAACAACAACCATATCAAAGGCGTATGTTAGATTAATGATAAAATGAAAATGAAAAAAGAAACAATAATAAACATAAAATAAAATTATTTTCATTTATTTTAAAGCAACTGCAGCTAGTTATAAAAACTAAAACAAAAAAAGCAAACACTTTTTAAAAATATTATTTTCTAATTTGTAGACAGTCTGTATATTAAGCAGGGCGAAGTTCTTTGTTCTAAAATGCAAATCAACGAATACTATATGCTATATAGAGCCGTTAAACGAATTTTTCATAAACAACAAACACACACACACAATACACACACCCACAAAAACAACAACAATACACACATACACATATTTCTCATTCTAATGTGCAATTATTGCTTTAACAATTAAAAAAAAAAACTCTCATTTCTAACTAATTTATTTGCAATTTTTGTGCTCATTTGATTTGTTTAGTTTTTCATCTAATTTCTATTTTTTTTATTAGTTCTTATGTAAATTGTTGTAAATCTTATAAATTGTAAAATATTTTTCTATAATTAAGTATAATTGTACTTAATTTAATGATTTATGGACAAGAGCATAGATAAAATGAAATGAAATGAAGAGAAAATCTCGTTAATTAAATCAAACAATTTATTTTCTTAAGAACTTAAAGCAACAACGATCTTGAAGCTCCTAACTAGTGCATAAACAAGTAAATAATATACACTTAAAATAAAAATCTAAATATATAAACAAGCTAAATTAATAACAGTAACAAATACAACTTGGTAGCTATATAATTTATATAAATAAACTGAATAACAATCAGAAGAGACCATTCAATATGGAATTTTAAATGTTAATTCAAAAAATATAATTTAATTTTTTATTTCTTATGAGTTAAAGCAAACAATCTATATCTATATATATATATATATATATAGATATATATATATATATTTCGATATGTATATATATATATATATATATATATATATATATATATATATATATATAT